TACATATAACTAAAGGGTGTAGAGAAATTACTATTTTCACACATCAAATACACAAATACACACAGTAATTCATAGTATATTTTTTTGTATTTTTTTAAAATTTTCAATTTTTTTCTTATTTTTTTCCCAAAATTACTTTTCTTTTTTTCTGTTCAACTTTCCTCTTTTTTTAAAAAAAAAAAATATTGAGCTGGTTAAAATTTTTATTTTCGGCGATACCAAAGTTTGGATGGATATCCTGAAAGGATGGATTTCGGATAAATATTTTGTTTTACTCGTTTCGGCCCGTTTGGGAGAGATTCAAAAGGCCTGGGCTGGTATTATACATATAGTAAAAAGTGGAGGAAAATCCAAATATATCATGGATTATAATAATAATTTATAATGTATTTTTTTAATTTTTTTGTTTTTTTTCAAAATTACTTGTTTTTTTTCAAATTTTCTCTGTTTTTTTCTTTATTTTTTTTTAAATTATTTTTATTAATTTTACTTTTTAAATACATATAACTAAAGGGTGTAGAGAAATTACTATTTTCACACATCAAATACACAAATACACACAGTAATTCATAGTATATTTTTTTGTATTTTTTTAAAATTTTCAATTTTTTTCTTATTTTTTTCCCAAAATTACTTTTCTTTTTTTCTGTTCAACTTTCCTCTTTTTTTAAAAAAAAAAAATATTGAGCTGGTTAAAATTTTTATTTTGTAATTTTTTTCTTTAAAATACTGTAGATTTCTGTTGTGTTTTCCCACATAATTTTTATTTTTTATTTTTTTATTTTTTAAAAATTATATTTGTTGATTTTTTTTAATATTGAGCTGATGAAAAATTTAGTTTTATAATCTAAAAAAAAAACATTGTTGATTGCTACAATGTTTCTTCCCATGTTTTTTTTGTTTTTTATAATTTTCTTTGAAATTGTTTTTTTTTTAATTTATTTTTTAATATTGAGTTAATTAAAAATTATAGTTGCAATATATGAGAAAAACACTATAATTTTCCTCACAAATTACTGTTGATTGCTACAATATTTTTTCCCACAAGATTTTTTCTGTTTTGTTATATTTTTTTCTAAAATTATCTTTATCAATTTTGTATTTTAAATATTAAGCTACTTAAAAATTAAAAATACAAGTAAATGCAAGTTTTTCCTCACAAAATAAAAATACAAGTACATGCAAGTTTTTCCTCACAAAACACTATGTATTGATACAGTTCTTTCTCATGTGGTTTTTTTCCAACTTCTTTTGTGTTTTTATTTTTTGTAATATTTTTTTCTAAAATTATCTTCGTCAATTTTATTTTTTAAATATTGAGTTGATTAAAATTTAACTTTGTAATAAAACTTAATCATGTGGGAAAAACATTGTGACTTTCCTCACAAAACATTGTGGATTGATATAGTTTCTCTTCACATGATTTTTTTTATAATTTTTTTAGAATCATCTTTGTCAATTTTACTCTTTTAATATTGAGCTATTTAAGAATTACAATTATAAGTCATTATAAATAAGGCTAAATCATGTGGGGAAGCACTGTAATTTTCATCACAAAATATTGTGAACTACTATAGTGTTTCCAACATGATTTTTTTCTTTTTTTTTCTTTTTTTGTTATTTTTTTCTAAAATTATCTCTGTTAATTTTTTTTAATATCAAGCTAATTAAAAATTTAGTTTTATAATTTTTTTTTTTAAAACACTATAAATTGTTGTCGTGTTTTCTCATATGATTTTTTTATGATTTTTTTTCAAAATTATCTTTGTCGAATTTTTTTAATATCGAGTTGGTTAAAAATTAATAATTATAATAAAGCTCAGTCATATAAGGAAAACGTTGTAATTTTTCTCACAAATACTGTGATTTACTACATTATTTCTCTAAATGGTTATTTTATTTTATTTTATCAGGAAAAACATTATAGTTTTCCTCACAAAACATTGTCAATTGCTACAATATTTTTCCTCATGAGTTTTTTTCTTCTAAAATTTTCTTTGTTTTTTTTTAATATTAAGTTAGTAGGAATTTAGCTTTGTAATTGTTTTTACTTTTTATTAACAGAAAAGCTAAATTATATGGTAAAAGCACTATATCTTTCCTCACAAAACATTATGAAATATTTGTTCAGTTTCTAATTTTTTTATTACCAACATAATTTTTTTTATATCTTTCCTCACAAAACATTGTGAAATATTTGTTCAGTTTCTAAATTTTTTATTACCAACAAAACTTTTTTTCTATTATAAAACATTGACTATATCATACCTTTTTTTAATAAACTCGATGGAGGCAATTAGCGAGCATGTTATCTCATTAATAATAAAAGAAAATCAGATGCAGGAAGAATATAAGATTATTGGAGGCAAGAGTAATTGCACTGGTTTCAAAAATCTAGAATCGAGTGGATTTGCTTAGGAGATAAGAATTCTAGATTTTTCATGTCACCATTGTAATTTATAGAAAGAGAAACCATGTTGGATCCAGTGGCGGAGCCACGTGGTGTCAAAAGGGGGCAATCACCCCCTTAATCTTTTTTTTCAATATATTTTATATATTAAAATATGTAATTTCTCCTTTAATTTTTTTTTCAAAATACTTTTTATATTAGAATATTAATAATATCTTAACATGTTTAATTTTTTTTGTTAGCTACTAATTAACCTAAATTAGCTATTGCTAACTTACAACATAATATAATATATAATATATATATATTTAGGACATTTCACTATTTTTTTTCTTTTTCTTTCATTAATTAACCGAAAGCCTTTTTTTTTTCAAGCTACTATTCTTACCTTCTTTTCTTTTACAAAATTTCTCTTCAAGTCCTAAGCTATTAGTTACTTAAGTAAATAATTTCTTATACTTTATTCTTTAGGTAAGTTTTCTTCATCTTTTTTATTTGTTTCATTGTTTAATTTTAATTTTATTCCTTTATAATTAATTATTAAAAATGTTAGGATTTATAATAATTTAAGAATTTGTGAATTAATATGTGTATGGGTAAATATCATATGCATATAGATATGAATTACAATGAGTTTTAATGAATTAATAAGTATTTTACTATGAATTTCATATAAAAAATGGATAACAATGAATTTATTAGTGATTAAAAATGAAGTATAAGACAACTCAGGAAAATTAAGGACATAATAGAGAAATAAAAAATATTTAACATTTATATTTAACTCACCTATAGAAAACAATAAGTGAAGAATAACAATATCAATCTGCCATAACAATTCTTTTAAGTTATAGTTTTATCTACTCTTTATCATATGTCGGTATAAAATTGTTATCAAAAACCTCACCAGTCCTTGAAAAATTTAGAAAACATAAGTATTGAACCCACTCTAAACTAAAAATAGATGAATAAAAAGTTAATTGTATATATAATAAAGTTATTATGAAGCGATGTTAAAATATAAAATTTGAAAAGAACAATTATAATGTAAGTTGTTTTATTTTGAAAATATTTTTAAATTAATTTTGTTTGATATGAGTTGATACATATATTTTAAATTAATTTTTAATATAATATATACTTATATAATATATAATATCAAATATTTATTAATAATTTATTTTTTTATTTAAAAAATTCTAGCTCCATTTCTAATTGGATCCCCGCGCTGTGATAAGGGAAATGGGGTTTCGAACACTACTAGTCTTCGGTGTACAGTATGGAATCTTTATAAGGTTTTATTTTCGAAGGAGGTGGTGGCCCGACCACCTTATTTTCCTATTAGGGGCGCTTTTCCTTCAGCGGATGCTGTTATGTCCAGATTGCGTAGGCCAGTTGTGCATGATGACGTCCAAAGTGCTTTATTTGATACGGGTGCTCATAAAGCTGCAGGTCCTGATGGCTTCCATGCTCATTTCTTCCATACTCGGTGGAAGGCGGGAGGTACTGTTGAAATTGTTTAAAATGTTTTCCGGGGAAAGAAAGATATTTCTCGGGTTAATGAGACTTTTCTTGCTCTAATTCCAAAAGTACAGAGGCCAGTGTGTGTTGCTCAATCTCGCCAAATTGGTTTATGCAATGTGACTTGTAAAACTGACAACCAAAACATTGGTAATAAGATGAAGTTGCTCCTTCCTTCCATTATTAGTCCGCAGCAAAATTGTTTCATGCTGAGTAGACGAATTAATGATAATGTCATTGTGGCTCAGAAGGTTATCCGTTCTATGCATAAATTATGCAGGAGGAAGGGATTCATGGCTATAAAGGTTGATTTAGAGAAGGCCTGTGACTGTTTTAGCTGGAATTTCATTAGGGATAAAGTTGGCCACTCGGTTGCTCATAAAGTTGAGCATCAATTCCATTTATCAGGAATACCATCCATGAAATAAACTGTCACCCGTCATTACTCACTGCTAAGCACTCACTAGTATACTGCTCCCTTACTGTAGGCGGCTGCTCTGATCAGGTGGGTTAATGGCTACATGGATGGTTCTTCTCTAATCTTTTTCTTCGGGAAGAGAGCACCAGTTACTACCGTGAACTAGGTCACATTAAAGGGCTTGCAGTATTGCCCTTGACAAAGGATTAATTAATGTCAGCAATCAAGTGAGATGCAGCAAAAAACTTGATTTCTCTGTTGTTTCAGCCCGTGAGAAATAAGAGATAAGGAGTGGCTACAAAGACATGATGTGAAATTACACTGCATAGGAAAGTGTGAGCTATTTAAGATAGTAGCTCATATATATATATATATATATATTGCCTTTAAAGAAGTTATGATGAGCTTTGAACTTGGTCACAGGTCAATTCAGTCAAACTCATGAATAGCTTCTTTTCTTGTTTTTGATTCACCCAGTGAAAAGAGAAGAATGCTGAAGAATCTAAATTTTGAGGCCGTTTTAACAAAATATAAAATAAGAAACTATTTTATATTTTCTATTAACCGATACAATTATTTATCAGTCCAAAAGTAAAATTTCTTTGTAGACTTCTTCCTGGAAGAGGGTTAATTGCTCTCATTTGAACTTCTGCCTGGAAGAGGGTTAATTGCTCTCATTTGACTTGATTCAAATTGTAGCGAGCCGGCGAATGTTCAGCGGTGAAATGTCTTTGGAGTCACCATCTAATAGCCGTTTCGCTATGATCACATTAGCAGCGTCAGAAGGATGGTATGGATCCCAGAAAACGTACTTGGACCTGTCGAAGCAAACTTTTGAAGAAGGCCCACATGGTATCAGACCACCAAAGTGCCCGGCAGCATAGCAGCATGATGCATTTGCGTTCTCAAATCCTGCAAAACAAAATTACAAATCTTATTTCTGAATAGAACACAAACAACATCTACGTACTCATCCAAAAACGATCGAGATGTCAGACCATATGATCTATAATTGTGCAGGATGTCATTGACAATGCGGTAAACATCTGCGTAAACAAAATTTGATCCCTCCAGATTTGCACCAAGTTCAGTGATAAGGCTTCTTAACTCTGTGTTGTATAGCTGGGCTATCTGATTGGAAAAACTAACACAATTGTCTCCTGCAGCTGGATTTGTATCTCTCTGATATGGTATACACCCAATTGGACCGACATTTGCCACAAGAATCTTTCTAGCACCCAAATTGTAGAGCCTCTGCAAATAGTATGGAGCTGGCTCTTTATAGGATTCCAGAATTGGTCTAATAAATGGAAAATTAAGGGTCTAAATAAACATATATAGTTGCAAGGAGCGTTTTTTACCGTGAGTTGTAATCTGAATCTTGCCAACACGATATCTACAAACACCTCTGGAGGTACCACCTTCTGCTCTACGGCTGAGACCACTGGTGTCAGGTAGTTGTTGATAAAATCGTTTGAGCCAATAACAACTGCGAAGAGAGACATTTTAAGCAGACTCAGAGTTGCAGGAGCACCAATGCTTGCAATTATGTCTTGCCTGGTGTTTGCGAAGTTATCAATCTGCGCATCCAAGTTGATCCGACCACCCTATAGGTTATGCATAGAATGCTTATCACATGAATTCACCAGGCTAAAATAGAGGTGCAGCAACTTTTTTTAAAATGCACTTTCATGTTTGGGGTTTTCTAAAAAATCTGACTCCACACTTAAAATTGAAAAGATTAAAAAAACAATCATTCAAAAACTTTGGAAGTACAAATGCGTTCATCGATTCTGAGACTTTTTCTAGAAGCATTAACAGTCTTAATTAAAAGCTCTCAAAAAACTTGGAAGCTGAGATGATTTTGTCTATTCAGTGATTCACTTTCAAGCATGCATATACATTTTGAAAAATAAAAATATTCGATTGAATCAAACAGAAAACTTACAAAAATCTTTCCAGTGTAATTAAGAATTCCACCTCCACCAGAAGCATAATTGACACCCCTCAAAACCACAGATCCCACTGTTGTAGGAGCCAAGAAAGGAGGAGTGAAATCTTCAAAACCCAATTCCTGACCTGTTAGTTAAACAAAGTTTTGATATAACGATGAGGAAATGAGATCATTTATCTGCTTCACTATCAGGCTGAGTCTTTATTTAGGCACTGCAGTAGTGGCTATCAATCAGAAATAAGAGAAATGAACTTGCCTATAATATCAGCAATGGTTCTTCCATTGGTGTACCTTCCTGTTGGCCTTCCGAAATCAATCCCATTTGGGATGTAGTTAGCTTTAGACAGTGACACGATGTAGTTGTTGTTTCCAGTATCAACCAAGGAGTCACCAAGAATAAAATTCGCAGGAACGCTGTTTGCAATGCTGACCCTTGACAATACAAAGATTGTCAATACTTGAGACATTATCCACGCATTTCCTCGTTTATTTAAGAGGATATCCATGACGGGAAAAAAAACGAGATATGCGTAACTATTGATTCTTGAGGGTCCTGTTGCTGTTAAATACTAGAGCTCAAACAACTTGCAACAAAAAGGAGATCACAAGTATTCAAGAACGCAAGGACAAGGTAGAACATGATCGAATAGAATTGAATGTGATTTAACTGTGGGGACTTGTTTATATGGCAAATGAATTAATTCGAAAGGTTGGGAGCAATTATGTGAAAGTCATATTTTATTTTATTTTCGTGTCTTAATTTCCACAATCGCCAAATCTAAAAAGGAAGTTTTAATCAAAGACAAAAAGGATGCGCAACCGTTAACCATCCTAATAAATCTTATCAGATGGGACACTTCACTCTTGTTTCGAATATCAAAACATCTGCAATCTGATCAGCCAAGGCCTGGGCTGGAGCTCACATATCCCTATACTTGAAAGAACTTTAATCCTTGTCCTTCCTAGACTTTCTCTCAAAGGATAAAATGCAATGAAATGGAAGGTGGCAATAATTACAGATACCCATTTGCAATAGGACTCACTTATGTCCATTCAATAAAAATTTATAAATTACACACAGTCCCTCGAATTTAACTTTCTTTCAAGCTACTCCCTTAAACTTAGGAGCTTGCAATTCTATCTGAAACTATCACCAGCCACTCAATTTGGCTCTCAGTCATGTTGCCAAAACATGCTCCATTTCAGTCCCAAAATCGCTTGATTTTCTTCCAGGTTTTATGCTATTCAATTCATGGGAAAGTCTCAAGACTGTCAAATATATGAAAATGGATGATAGTTTGTAATGGATTTAAGAAATAGACGGCGATGGCCCGCTTGAAAATGAAAGGAAAATAAGTAAACTATAACATTGAATGCCCTGCAGAATCAGCACCGAGCCCGCGTGTATAAATTATAAACTATAAAGCAAATCCTTAAGAGTTTTCACGCAAAATATATTGGAGACTGAGGCACAGTGAATGAATCTGTGCTTAGCTCAAAAGGCAAAGCGTATTGATTTTTCTAACTGCCTTCACGCATCTTCAAATTCCAAACCTATGAGCTGCCCCGTGTTAAGAATTTAATGCGGTCACTTAAAAATAGCAAATAGATTTTAAGTTCCATTGATATTGATTTGTATGAGCTCATTAAGCTGGTTGATTATATGCCCACACGCCCTATTGTACTTGCGTGTTGGGGGTGGTAATTAATATTGTGGGCTAACTTCATCTAATTTTGTATGAGCTCATCGGCTAGGGTTGTGGGCTTATAAATTAAAGCTCCCTTCATGCAATAAAGTTCTTCATTGGTGCAGTAGAAAAGATGAATGAATTATAGATTGTGAAAGAACTGCGAACCAACCAAGTACTGTAACATTTATTTCTATCCGTCTGTCTAGGAGTGTTTAAAATAAGGCATAATTGGTAATGAAAAAAACATTATTTATTGTCATGGGGCCTATTAAAATCTGTATTTATAACGTAGAGAAGAACTGCTTCTGTAAAGAGTGAATCACTCTTCCCCGTTATTAACTTAAGTAAACAGTGGAGTAATCCACTACTGTTATGCTTGGATTCAGTTCAAATCTAGTTCAAATCTAAATATATTTAATAAGATCTGATCTAGTAAAATAAAAATAAAAAATTATTTATTTATTTTTATTTATTATTTATTTAAAAAATTAATATTATTTAATAATACTATATAAATTATACAACAATCGTTTAATAATATAATATTTATAAAATTTGATCTCATTCCTAATTTTATTTATGATGTTGTTGGGCGCTAAATAAATCAAAGAAACTATAGTTCTTATAAGATGTATCTCATACGCGATGAAGTTGTAGATATTTTAATGAAACAATAAAAACTATTTTATGTAAAATATTATTTATTTTATAATGCAATAGTAGTAGTTAAATCTACAATATTTAAATAAAAATAATCAATATAAATATATATTTTTTAAAATTATTTTATAATCTTAATTTTAAAAATATTTTTAACCGAACACATTAAATTATTTTTTTATTTAACTTTAATTTGAACTACAATTTTAACCGAATACTAAATCAATCTCAATAAAAACAAAATCTTTTTACAAAATCGAATACTAAATCAGCCTCAATAAAAACAAAATCTTTTTACAAAATAATTTTCTTCACATCACAAAAACTATTACACTACTGAATAGTGTTTATACAAGTCTAACAAATAACTGTGCACAACTTAACACATGGTGTGAGGTATTTCGTTCAATTGTTTGTCGGAAACTTCCAGTCTTGCCTCCGGGAAAAGTCCATCGTGAATCTGGCAACCCTAGTTGTTCCCTTTGAGAAGAAACAGGGGAGGGTTTGGCTTAATTTTTGACAGGTAGTGCGTTAGGCTTTGTTCATTCAATGAAATTCATTCTAAATTCAAATCCAATAAAATAGAGCGTGAAACGATGGTGCATGTAAATCTACCCCGTAATATTCGGATTAATGGTATATTTGGGGCCTATGTTTTAGACATTTTCTTAATGTGGTCACTCTATGTTTTTTTCAGTTGGTCCACTTATTTAAGAAGGTTTTTAATGTGATCCCTTCATCTAATTTATTATTGATTCTTGACATTTAGTCTGGCATACACTTGGACATGTTTCGAATTTTTCTAGCATGTTATAAGAAATTAATGATAAATTGGAAGGAAGTGGGATGGAGGGATTACATTAAAAGATTTTCTAGAGTAAATGGAACGACTCATAAAAAATAATAATAGAGGGCCTATCTTATGAAACTGTTAAGAGTATAGGGACTCAATAATACTACTAAACTCCTAATATTCTCCTTTGTAAAGCGCGGCAGGAAGCCAGGAACCCCATCTAAGACACTCCAACTATCTCTTATGTTATGGTCGGTCCTCCATTTTTAAAATATTCTAATTACACCCTTGATTTAACACAATTGACACACTGCAGACATTCTATCCATTCACGTCAATCAGTTTCTACCATCACATACACATGTTATGACTACATGCAACATATCTCTTTTCCATAAAATCCTTTTTAATGTGAGGAGAGAACTTGAATCTTTGATGACAAATTAACTAGCTTTCGTAGCACCCGCCTGTATGTATGTATCTGTACCACTACACATGAAAAACCATGCGCAGCTGGAATTTCTTCCGAATTCATATTTTGATTAATAGACCATACTGTGTTCATTTTATAGCATCACAGAATCCAGAAGACAAATAAACAGAGCAGCTCAAAATCCGTCTTATTGCAGCAAACAGTTCAATAATTCAGAAGCTGCCTGATGTTCATAGGTGAAATATAATTCAAGTCACCATCCATCATATGTTTCGCTATGATTTCGTAAGAAGTTTCGGTTAGATGGAATGGATCCCAGAACACATACTTGGATCTGTCGGGACAAACTTGAGATAGAATTCCGCATGGAATTAAACCCCCATGTAGTCCAGCTCCAGCAACATGACAGCACGCCGAATCTGCAACTTCAAAGCCTGTAAAAAAAAAAAAATAGAGGTTCTGCCTGTCAGAAAATTTAAGACCATCCCACGTCGACGGAAAATGTTTGTTGTTTGTTGCAAAGGGAATTCACTCATTCGGTATACCATATGATGTCATGTAGTTACTGAGAATATCATCTAGCATTGCATAAACGTTTGCACAAATAAAAGTTGATGCCTCGAGATTTTTGGGGAGTTCCGCTAGCAGGCTATTCAATCGGCTATTGAATAACTGTGCTTTCTGATTCATGACAGCAACACAGCTATCTACAGATGAATGTAGATCTCTAACAAAAGGGATGCATCCAACAGCAGCAGAATTTGTAACTATAAACTTTCTGGCATCCAGATTGTAGAATCTCTGCACCCAAAGTTTACATCTCATGTTCTAAGAAAGTCATGCAAAACTTAAGATGAAAGTTATCAAAATAAGGGAGCACAGGAAAATCTTACAACAAGTTGTGATTTGAATCTTGAAATTATAGTGTCAAGTAATGTATTCCAAGATGATGAATTCTGCCACTGGCTAAATATGATATCATTTGAGCCAATTGAAACAAAAAAGATGGCCTGTTTAAACTGCTCTTTAGCTGCTTGTGAACCGATTCTTGAGATGATGTCTTGTCTAGTCTTTACAAAGTTGCTGATTTGTGCGTCCAAGTGGATTTGATGACCCTGTCATTAATGAAATAAAGTAGTGCTATGATGTCACTGTAAAACATTAATCACATGCTTTGGAGAGATTCTTTGATGGATTTCGCTAAACTGATTTCCTTAAACAGCCCGAAGGAGTTTTCGAAAATTTGATCAACTTCCACCACACTTGGTTAAAGATGAAACCTATTTTCAATGGAACACAAAGCTTACGAAGAACCTTTCAGTATCATTCAAAATTCCCGATGCTGAAGAAGCATAATTGACACCCTTCAGGATCGCATCTCCAGTGGTTGTCGGAGCCAAGTAAGGAGGAGTTAAACTAGTCAACCCTACTTCTTCTCCTACCAAAACAAAATAAATTAAGTGAAGGGAAAGTACAGCTAATAACAAGTGGAGAGAAACAGCAATAATACTTGCCTAAGATATCAGTTACCATTCTACCATTTGTAAATCGTCCAGATGGAATTCCTATTGGATTCCCAAAATCAATCCCATTAGGAAAATTTGCTTTTGCTGCTGTATTAATGTAGAAGTTGTTTCCTGCATCAACCAGTGAATCTCCAAATATATAAAGAACAGGAGGATCCTTTGCTGAGCAGATACTGAACAAAAAAGAGGCTGTTGCCATATGCAGTATCACACCTATAACAACGCATCTTCCCGATACAAAACCCATCAACAGTCCTTTGGAACATAAGAGAGGAAATGACCTGTTCATTGATTCTGAATCACACAAAATTTGCACCAGAGGAGACTGTAAATGATACTTAAGGCCTTTCTAAAATGCAATTGTCAATGTTATAATCTCCTTTCTCTGAACCTTCTCTCAGGACAAGAAGGATATGAGGTCAGGCAACCAGTAAAGTCACATGACAGGCAACATCAACTTCTGACCAGGTCCACACCCTACCATGATGGGAGCTTGGAAGCGTAGAATCGATGTGGTCATAATTCACATGATATACAACGTGCTCAGTCGGTTACATATAGCAAGGTCTGTTACCTTAAGCTTGTCTGTTACTACTTTTGGATTGAGATTAAATTATTCTTTGATACCGTATCGTAACTTTATTCATCAAGTTATCATAAATTTGAATAATCTTTTTCGTTTTATTTGATAAAATTAAACATAAAATAATGATAACTGTATAAAAATTTCAAGCATAAGAGCTTTAACTTAAATAAATATATTAAAAAATAATATAAATTCAACCTACGCACCAGCGAATTGTTATTTCTACCTGCTAAGGATCTCTTTCATCATATGATGCTTCTGTCAGGAATAACTGCTTGGTGGACCATACGTGAAACTGTCAAATTTGTGGCTAGCTCAAAAGGGGAACTGGATAAGTTGGATGTGCCAGTAGAAAGACGACGTGCCAATAGAAAGTTTGGATGTGCCAATAGCACCTCCCGCAAGTTAATACAGCTAGGATAAGTTGAGATCCTGTGTGAGGTTACTCATTCCTATAATTCATATATATGCACATAATTAGTAATTAAACGTGAAATTTATTCAGATCATAATGTAATTTGGCAACCAATTTAAGTTTGGATAAAAAAATAAAAAAATTTAGGAGACTTGCGCATATTAAGCTTGAGATTTCTAATTAAAAACTTAAATCACAGAAGGGATCTAAGTAATTTGGCTTTAAACCCGTTCACATGCAAATGAATTAATAAAAAAGGTGTTTTAAATAAATTTTTTTATTAAAGTTATGTATAAATATAATTAGCGCAATTGATTTGTACAAATTTGAAGAGAAAAAGAAAAGAAAACCTCCTAGGTTACAATATATTTATTTTTAATGGGTGGGTTTTTCACTATAAAAATAAAAAATCAATAAAAAAAATACACTAGAAATAGCAATAAGCTGTTAGTTTGTTTAACAGTACCTATAAATAGCAACCGTCAACTACATTATCATCCCAATTTAGCCTAAGAAGCATAAACATAAACAACTTTATTCATCGACGCAGCTGATGTTTCGGTTTAAAATTATAACTTGGAATGAATATGGTCTCAATTATACTGTTACCAAAAAATAAAAAGAAAAGGAAAAAAAATAAACAGTAATCGCGTACGAGCCACAGAAGTTCGGGCTTCAATTAGAGCCCTTCCGAAATTATAGATAGTTTCCTAACAACCTTTCCCGCGCTAACGCATATTAACAACATCCAATTTTAACTTTCACCTCTAAAGAACATCATAAATATCTCCTTTCTTGCTGTTTTTTTATGAACTTCCAAACATTTTGTCGCCGCCCTTAACTTAGAATTGAACGAAATCCTGTTAACACGACTCTTTCCTTAAACATCATGGCTATTTGCTCTTTGCCTCCTATTATGTCCCTAAAACCAGCCCATGTTGCTTCCTTTACTATCATTTTAGTCCTTGCCCTATCATTTTCAGGCCATGTTGATGGCTTGACTGCACAAACAGTTATAGACTCTCCTCTGTTGACACAAAAAATTGGCACCAATCGGACAATCAAGGTCGATATCAATGGCGATGGAGATTTTACGTCGGTCCAAGAGGCCATAAATGCTGTTCCGAAAAACAATTCTCAGTGGATTATCATCCATCTCAGGAAAGGAGTTTACAGGTAAATAATTAACATCCCCTCTTTGTTGGTTAGTTATAATATAAATAAGGATTGAGCCATGTATAAGGTGATGATGATCTTTGAGGTGTTACAAAAAAATCTTCTACCAGAGAAAAGGTACACGTTCCCAAGAATAAGCCGTATATATTCATGAGAGGGAATGGCAAAGGAAGGACAGCCATTGTCTGGTCCCAAAGCTCTGCTAATAACAAGGCATCTGCAACATTTACCGTCGAAGCCCCCAATTTCGTTGCTTTCGGTATTAGCTTCAAGGTACGTGGCCTTTAAATTCAAGTGTTGGGGCTCATTTTATCCATATGAATTTGCTTTTTGCGTTCCTTTAATATTTGTTATTAACCCTCAATGGATCTATCACTATTAATGCAGAATGAGGCACCAACAGGGATGGCTTTTACATCACAAAACCAGTCTGTGGCGGCATTTGTTGGTTCGGACATGGCTGCATTCTACCACTGTGGGTTCTACAGCACCCATAACACTTTATTTGATTACAAGGGGAGGCATTACTATGACGATTGCTACATTCAGGGCTCAATTGACTTCATCTTTGGCCGTGGCAGGTCCATTTTCCATGTGAGTGCAATCAATTGATGAGTAATTCTTTTTTTTTTAATCAAAATTATAAACATAATGATTTTGTTGTTTCAAATTAACGCGGAGCTGCAGAGCTGTGAAGTCTTTGTGATTGCTGACATGAGGGTGGATATTCTTGGGTCCATTACAGCTCATAATAGGGAAACAGAAGATGACAGTGGGTTTGTTTTTATCAAAGGGAAGTTTTATGGCATTGGTAATGTGTACTTAGGAAGAGCTAAAGGCGCCTATTCCAGGGTGGTTTTCGCAAAAGCCTATCTTTCTAAGACCATTGCACCTAAGGGCTGGACTAATTGGAGCTATGCTGGCAAAACAGAGTAAGAAATTTTCCATTTGCTTTGTGAATACGCGTCCATGCTTAAATATGAGGCTTGATGAAATTTCTTGTGTTCCGCTTCTTCATAAATGGAAACAGGAATCTTTACCAGGCAGAATACAAGTGCCACGGACCAGGAGCCGATCCTGAGAACCGCGCCCCTTGGTCGAAACAACTTACTGAGGAAGAAGCTAAAAGCTTCATGTCAATTGATTTCATAGATGGCAAGGAATGGCTCCCAGTTTGGCAAAATTAGGTTGTTGGCAAGCAATACAGATGCCATTGTTCTTGTTATTTCTTCATCTCGGCGCTGAATTAATTTGCGTGTCTGACTTAGATAATGTTACAAAAATTGCAAAAGATAATGTCTAGTTTAACTCCATGGATCTGCAAGAACAAAAGAATAACAGTATTTTTACTTATTTAATTTGTAAACTTATTGTTAAAAATTACTATAACAAACAATCAGCGTAAACATGCATGTAAGCGAATACAATATCTAAATAAATTGATTATTATACTTATTGAAGTACTTAGTATGTAAAAAGAGCTGCAAATATATTACATTGTTGTTAAAGATTATCTAATTTGTCCTTGAAATTTATTGATTACTCCTTCATGTAAATAGTGATTACCTTGCACTATTTATCTAACTTAAAAAACAAACTCAAAAAATTTTTCTATGAAAAATTTAAACCTAAGTTCTAAAAGCAAAGAGGTTGAAAAAAACAGAGGAAAAAGGAGTAAAAAAGTTATTATTTGGCGTAGAGCAGTTCCCTTTCAATCTCTTTTTATATAAAATTAGAGAAAGAGAGTTATTAGTTGGTGTAGAACACTTCCCTTTCAATCTCTTTTTATATAAAATTTTAAAATAAAGACGGATGCATAATTAATTCTAGTTAATTATATATTATAAAAAAACTAATAATTTTTTACCTTAAAAACTAGATGTTTTTCCATGAAAAATAAACTATTTATGTAGAAAAAAATTATTGTTGATTTATTCATTGGTTGATAAAAAAATTATTATTTTTACTAAAAAATATGAATAAAAGCGCATGTAACTTAAGCTCATAGCCAACTTTAAATTTAACTCTTAAGCTTATTATTATATAAGCTACAGGCAACAGGAGAATTTTGTAATTTTTCAATGTGATTCGTGGTTTAAGATTTCTAAAATCATGTCAAAAGAATTATTTTTTTAGATTAATTTTTAATTTACCCACATTTTATTTTAAACATGTTAATACTTCATGTTCAGATTGTTTTGTTGGGGGATAATTCTTATCACAAAAAATGAACCGACTTCACGTTTCATCCGGTATGAAATATGTTATTTAACCATGTTTTAAAACAATTTATATGAGATAATATACCATGCGGTATCTTGGAAACCTACAAGGCTTTTCATATCTAATGAAGCCTTCTGAGTCTAAACTTGTATGAATTAGGCAATGCCTACCTTTCCTATGTCCAGACGTGGCTTTCTAGCTTTCAATTTCTGGCTTCTTGTCCATTATCTTGGTTCTGCTTCCAGAAGAATTTTCGAGTGCATAAAGGGTCCTTAGTGCAATGAACGCGCGCAGATGACTTCAATTTGTTCATCTTGTCAAAGACTGATTATACATTTATATTTTTTCGTGTGGAAGAAAATGATGCAAGATAATACAAGCTTTAGTTATTTATTCTAATTATAATCTTAATTGCGACATAATAATATAATATCCCATGCACAAGCACGACATTAAAAGCTCGCTAACTTCAGGAATTAATGCCCACTTCCACTTCCTCCACCAAAACCTCCTCCCCCTCCTTTGCCTCCTCCGAAGCCACCACCAGCACCACCTCCAGCTCCTCCACCAAATCCTCCTCCTGTACCACCACCTTCTCCGCCACCA